GGATCTTCCTCCAGAACTACCAGAGATAAAATCTTCCCTACAGATGGCATCGGGAATTCAGACTTGAAGTCTCCTAAGCTGTGAGACTTATCTGACAGTTTGCTGTTTAATAGTCCCAGTCGTGATGGATAAAATTCTGGCTCCTGGAAGTCCCTTGTGGGTCAAAGTATAATGTGTTCCAGAGAGTTTTCCAAATGGGTTTTTTGTTGGTGAGTTTGGGGTTTTGGGGTTTTTTTTGTTTTTGGTTTGGCTTTTGGTTTTTTGTTTGTTTTGATGTAGATTGCCATGCCTTTCTTTCATTGGAAACTGAGTAAAACTTAAGCCTCCAACCTTTTGTTAACATTAAAATGCAATAACCACTTTCTCTATCCAAGGGCCCTAGTACTTGTTATAAAGCAATATTAATTAGTCTGGAGACCAAGGTGCATCTGATACAGGCCATGGTCTTTGCTATCACTTGTTATGCATCATCAGAGTTGGACAATGACTAAGGAGGATAGAAGGAGAATTGATGCTTTTGAGCTGTGGAGCTGGAGAAGAGTATTGAGAATACCATGGACTGCTAGGAAAAGAAACAGATTCATTCTGGAAAGGGTTAAATGAGGCGGCTCCTTGGAGGCAGGGATTCTGAGGCTCTAACATACTCTGATCATGTTTTAAGGAGGGACCGGTCCTTGGAGAGGGACATCACGCTTGGGAGGGTGGAAGGAAGGCACAGGAGGGGAAGGCCCTCTATGAGGTGGATTGATTCAGTGATTGGGGTAATCAGGAGGGAATGTCAGAGACAGTGCGATTGGCACAGAACAGAGTTTAGGGCTTTTGTACACAGCGTTGCTATGAGTCACAAGCAACTCGACAGCACATAACAACAACAACAACCACAAATTTCACTATCAAAGGGCCCTACTATTTATTATAAAGCAACATTAATTAGAACAGGGAGCTCTGGTGGCCTAGTGGCAAGAAGCTGCACTGCAATCCTGAAGGCACACAGTTCAAGGCCACCAGCTGCTTTGCGGGAGGATGGGCAATCTCCTCTCATGCAATTAACTGCCTCTGAAAATCGGCTGGAGGGTCAGCTATGGGTCAGTTTTGACTACAAGGTACACAACAACAATAATTAGGACAGGGCAGTAAAATTACCTGGATACACATATAAATCAACGGGAAAGAACAGGATAGAAATAAAAAAATAAAAAGAAAGGATTTGCTTTGTATTGTTTTAAAGTCACTGAATTCTAAGTGTCTTGAAAAAAAAGGCAGAGAACTGATCTAAAGAAGACTGCATGCAATCTATCCAAGAAAACATCAGAGTATGTCCTGGGGCAATGTTGGTCATAGGAGACATGGACACATTTAGAAGCCTTTCATAACTAAGATTAAAAGCAGAAACAGTCTTAGTTATGCTGTTGAAGAGAGGAAATGTATCTTAAGTATTGCTATGAACAATACATACACTAAATAAATGGATAAAGTGGTTATTGAAACTGTCAACATGGCAAGGGAAAAAGAAGCCGATTCAATAATAACGGTGGTAACTATGAATTTTAAGAATGAAGTAAATAAGCTTATGTCCAAGTAGGAGAAAATAGGACACAGAGAAACAGGGCCATGCACATCTCTCTGAAAAGGACAGAGGAGTTAATAATAGCACTTCCCCAGAGTAGAAAGAGAGTAGCCCAGGCCCATGGTGGGTATCTCAAGAGCCACATCAACACAAGAGGTTCGTTTATTCATTGCTGAATCACAGTTATGGTACCACAATGGAGTTTATTAGAGAAGGAAGTTGGTGGCAGAGGAGTGTGGGACCAAAGAATATCACCCAATACAAGTCTAGGTTTTAAGCTCATTACTTTTAAGGGCAAATAAGTTTCTCATTATATGTTTTTTAAAAGTCAACAGCCTCCATTACACTCATAACTGGGTAGAAGTTATGAATAAAAATAAACATGACCAGCAGGAAAGCAAAGAGTTAACATAATTAACCATGTGAAAGAAAGCTAAAAACTGTTAAAAAGAAAGACTAGATACAGTTTGTTACTGATGCAAAGGCAACACTTTATTCACAAAACATTTTATTATAATTCTGATTTTACTTATAATTTCAGTAACATTGATACAATAAAGTATAAAGTATATCTGGAAAAACTAGGAAGCAAAATATACAAGGAGCTGACTATGAGGATTATAACAAAATAGTAATCTTGGCAGATATTCAATATATCTGTAAACAAAACAGTGACAATGCATTTAAAAATAGATAGCTATCAATAGGGAAAAAAAACCCAACAACCCGAAAGCTCCTGAAAGAACTCATTATATTAACTTTCATTTGGTCATAGGCACAGAAATTGACTCAAGCTAGCTCAATACTAAAAAGGAAGCCACGCTTTTGATGATTCCCTTCATAGCTCTTGGTGAAATTCAAGGGGAAATGGGTGGGGAGGTTAAGTAAGTACCTTTAACAAGAGAGAATGATTTCACTGTCAGTCTGATGAGGATGGTTTTTGAAGCTCGATGAACCAAAGGAGGTGGACAATTAAATGAGGTAGTGCTTCAGGCAGGCCTGGGTAGGGCCTTCTGGTAGAGAAGCCCACACCAATTCTGAACAGAAAAAGTGGGATATGCTTGAGCGAAAGCAATGCCAATGAGTCTGAACAGTGCATCTGTAGAAGAGAAATTCCTGGTAGAGAAGAAAAGTAGGGGGAGGAAGGTAGAGGAATGGTCAGGTTACTGGAATGTAGGATTGGCCAGGAAGGACAGACTAGTCTGACTCCACAGGAATGCACTTCAGTGGATCAGTAGACAACAGCAATAGTGCTACCAAACTAAGTAACCATAAACACAATGCCACCTTAAAGGGCAGAAAGAGGTAAGATGTCACCTTAGAGAACAGGAGGCAAGTGCCTGCAGGTCTATTTCTCCATGAGGGATGACCACCTGAGGGTAGAACTAAGTGGAATGGACAAGGTTATTTCCAAGTAGTTAATACCTAAATTTAAAGTCTAGCAAAGTGCCTTGGCCCAACCCAACTGGAAGGCCTAGTGAAACATTCAAAAAACAAATTAACTAATCAAGAGTTCAAGACGTAAACAGAAGCTACACTTAGCTATCTCAGACACATATAATATACTCACAAATAACACTGCTTTGTTATCTGGAGTTCCTCTTTCCCCCACTTCAAGGGAAGGAAGCCCAACTCTTGAGGATTTCATTTCTAGGCTTTTTCTAAGAGCCCAGTAACCTGAACTAGATTATAGAGGGAAGAAGGGCAGAGACAAGGTGCCTTTAAGGAAGAGGAAAAAGGGGTGGAGGGAAGGTTTCTCCAACAAATCTAGGGCAAAAGTTGTAATCCCAGATTCCTCAGGTCGGCAGGAAAAGGAGGCTTGGCCCTAAACAGACCTGAGACTCGAGCCTGGGATGACAAGGGCAGCCAGTGCTACAGACACCCAGGAACCCTCCCTGTTTCTGTGTAAGAGTTTTCATGGAGGGCAAATGGGAGTGACTCTCCTACACTGTATAGATTATCAAGTCTCTAACACAGAGATGACAGTATTTCTTAATGTAAATGGGCTATTTCCAGTACACCATCAGGTGTCAAGACCAAAAGTAAGCATCAGCTTATAAACTTGCAAACTACTTATGTGGATGAGAGAATAAGTGCTCACCCCAATACATTCATGTGCAGGGCAGATACAGAAAGTGCATGTGTCGCGTGTTCAGTAAAGCATGCCCAGAAAACCAGAAGAGGCTGAAATAAAGCTTAGTAAGTCGTTTCTGGCTCTATACCTTGGTGGTCCATTCTATTGACTGTCCCCCTTCTTGCTTTCCAGTGAGGGGCTAAACTAAGCTCAGCCCACCTGTTTGGCTTTTTTCAGTTAAAGCAGATGATTCAAACTCTTAAAAGTCAAGGCCTGTCTCCTGAGAAGTTCTACTTGCCTCTAACAGCCTGTGCACGAAGGAGATAATATGGTCAATGCATTCCCTACCAAAAGTCAGCCAGAGGGGAGAGGCATATTGGATTCCCCCGCAGGAGATACCCTGGCACCATTTTATTAACTTCACGTCTGTGGCTTCATCTGTCCAACAGACACAGACCCTTCCAAACCATCAAGGACAATGCTTGTCTTGGTTCTCTGTTGGTTTGTGACTCGGGGGACCTTAAGGTGATTCTGGGTCACAGCCTTATAGAAGACCATCACCAGACCACAAGTTTCTCCTTTAAGGGCCACTGGGTAGATTCAAATTGACTTTAGCAAATCCAGTCAAGACAAATCATTTGTGGGACCTTCACAATATTTTCTCAACTTATTTCAGTATACAAACTGAGCATCAAACTATATATTTGAAAGACTCTTGCTTCCCTTCCTTAAACATAAGAGTATTAATAATAATTTTAAAAAGACACTTTCACGGTTCTGTATGGACTTCAAAACCCAAAGTACATGTGTTTCTGTCCTTCAAGTGGATGAGGAGCTGGTGCCCCTCCTGGGCACTGCCTGTAGGGGCCCCTCATATTGGGTGTCTGTCAGCTTCTGGACACCCAGGTTTTCGGGACCAGCTCCTTCTGGTCAAATCCAACAGAGGCACTTCTAGGAGGTCAGCAGCAGACAGGACTGGCCTTGCCCATTGGCAAAACCATCTAAAGTCTCAATGAGAGCTAATGCAAACATCTACAGTGCACGAAAAAACCTTGAAAATAGCATGAAGTGTTTCATAAACTGCAAATTACAATATACAGAAGAGCTTTCAAGCTCAGGCACAAGAAGGTAGGCCAAAATAGTTTTTCTTCCCTGTTCTCACTCCCATACGCCCACCCACCCCCACCTTTGCTAAATTAAACCAGAGAGTAACCTAAAGACCAGACAATACAACTTAAGACCAGGTCCATGTCACTCACTCAGTCTGAAGAATACTGCACTCATGAAATAAACTCACAAAAGGGTCACTGGTTTCTGCTCGTCTGATGCTCTTGACAAAGCATAGTTTATACTTTTTGCCTATATGGGTGCTTTGGACTTGGGCTTGCACACTTTCAATTTAGAGGAACTAGAAGTACCGAGTTTAGGGGGCAGTTCTTCCAGCTCCATGTCAGATGAGTTCACAACAATGGACGCAACATTTCCTGATCCCTGCTGGGGTGCTGATGACACCTGAATCACAACTTTCGTGTCAGGCGGCAACCCTTCCAACTGCTTGGGCCTCTTAAACATTTGGTGACACTGCGTCTTATGCTCAATTTTCTTCTTGAAAGTTAAAAACTGCAGCCGGCACTTGGAGCACTGGTGAACACTCTTTTCCCTGTGTCCCCAGTAATGGCACATATATGGCTTAGCAACCTTGAAAACTTTGAGGCAGAAAGGGCAGAGCAAGCTCTTGGTGTTCTCGTGGCAAGCTCTGAAATGGGCTTCCACACTGGCACAGAATGACGACCTGTAACCGCACACCTGGCACACATAGGGCATCTCCCCAGGCTTATGTGTGTCCTTCATGTGCTGGAGGAGAGCCTGATCTGTGACAAACGACAGCTCACAGATCTTACACACAAAGGAGGGCTCCTGGGAGCTGTGCACACTGTCCACATGGCACTGCAGCTCAAAGGGTGTGGGGAACCGCCTGTAGCAGTACTGGCAGGTGGTGTGACTTTCCCAGCTGTCACCCCTCTGCCTCTCATATTCCAAATGATGCTTCATGTGGTTCATAAACTTGATGTTCTTCAGAACTTTCAGGCAGCTGAGGCACTTAAAGGTTGTATAGGTCTTCTGTTCTGGCTGCCTGTTGCCCTCTTGCTGTCCATAGTAGAAATCATGAACCAGCACCATCAGGGGTCTATCCTCAGCCTTGAAGGTCTCCTTCTGACTTGTCTGTCTTGAAAGGTCCATTTTTACCAGTTTCCCAGTTTCCCTGTATGAATTTATAGGCTTGAGGTTGGCATTATCCTTTGGAAAAGCTGTGAGGAAAGGTGTTCTCTCCTGAACATGGTTTACTGAGGTATTAACAGCTTGTGAGGGTGTGTTTAGCCAGGCAGCCTGGGTAGTGGGGATATCTGAAGGGGACAGTGGTGAAGGAGGGTCCCCTAAGATCCCATCACTGAGTTGAGGTCTCTTGAGATTCACACGGTTGACTTCAGATGTGGAAAGTAGCTTATCTACACAAGGCCTTTCACTCAAATCCAGAGAAAAAGCTGCTCCTCCTGGGGGTGGCAGAGAACACAGGAATTTAACTGGAGGGGAGCTGGGTGAGGCTTGTGGGGAGTTACTTCCACAATCAGAGTTAGGCAAAGATTCAATAATAATAGGACTATCAGTGGATCTCGACTGAGGTGGAGAAGCTGGTGCCACCACTTCTGACAGAGCAGTCATAAGACTTCCAGGCTGTGAGATACTACGAGCCCGCTCTGGCCTACACCGAATATACTTCCTCCTCCTTAAATGTGACCCTGGGGTGACTCTGTTCAGAATGGTAGACACGATTGGTTTTGAACCTGATGTGGCACCCACAAAGATGAGCTCGGCATCTTCATGCACATGTTCCACGCCAAGCAGGATGAGCTCATCATCGTCACCATCCATCGCCTGGTGGGCTCCATTCATGCTCTTCCTTGGCTCTGGCTCCTCCGGTTCATCCACACACACGGATTCCATTCTTTTTGAGATGCTTAGAGAGTCGGGGCACCAACAAATCTCAGAGCTTCCTCTATACAAACTGCCACCTAAGCACAAACAAAATACATAAGGAAGAATGTAAAAATGCATTTAAGGCATATTTTAAAAAGAAGGACATTGAGACAAGGGGAATATCAAACAGATTTTTAAAAATTTCCCTTTTCAATAAATATTTAAACACTCAATGTCAAGAAGACAAAGATTCTCACCACTGGACCAATTGGCAGCATCAGGATGGATGGTGAAGAGATTGAGATTGTACACAGCTTTAGTCTGCTTGGCTCCACAGTCAACAGTCTTGGCACCAGCAGCCAGGAAATTAAAAGGTGCATTGCCATGGAAAAGTCTGCTGTTAGGGACCTCTCCAAAGTACTGAAGAGCAACAGCGTCTCTCTGGAGACTAAGGTGTGTCTGATACAGGCCATGGTCGTCGCAATCACTTGTTATGCATCAGAGAGTTGGACAATGACCAAGGAGGATAGAAGGAGAATTGATGCCTTTGAGCTGTGGTGCCGGAGAAGAGTATTGAGAATACCATGGACTGCTAGGAAAACAAACAGATTTGTCCTGGAAAGGGTTAAACCGGGTGGCTCCTTGGAGGCAAGGATTCTGAGCATACTTTGGACATGTTGTGAGGAGAGACTGGTCCTTGGAGAAGGACATCATGCTTGGGAGGGTGGAGGGACAGCGCAGGAGAGGAAGGCCCTCTATGAGGTGGATTGATTCAGTGACTGGGATAATCGGGATGGGAGGGAGTGTCAGAGACAGTGCGATTAGCACAGGACAGAGCGGAGTTTAGGGATGTTGTACATAGGTTCGCTATGAGTCGCAAGCGACTCGACGGCACATAACAACAACAACAACAAACATTTAAACACTCCCCACTGAAATGGACTGACACGGTGACTGCAATGGGTTCTATTTTTCAGATATGACGAAGTTGGAACAGAATCTGTTGTTCAGAGGGTCATTTGCAACTTGATGGCACCTAACAACAACAACAAAATAAAATCCAAAAAGCACTAGGAGAGTAAGAGCATCTTAAAATTAAGGCCCACATGTGCCTACTACAAATGTTTTAAATATTTTTTCCCCTAATATAAATGGATTACAGAGACAAGCTCATAGCTTTTCTGTATTAAAGCTCTTTTTTTAAACATAGGAACACTCAGCATTTTCAATGGTGATCATTTTATTCTTTCAACAAACTATTTCATACTTTCACAGATTTCACCAGCACATTGCTGATCTAAAATCATCATTGCTCCTCAGCCTAGATGGCCTAATGTGCTAAGAAACTGTTGACTGTAGCAATCAGCCAGTTCTCAGAAAATGTACCCAGGCCGCCTCTAATAGGACCATGCAACTATATTTTAAAATATTCCAGAAAACTCACAGACAGGAATGTGCTGTCATCTACAGCCATTCTGATAAATAAAGCCAATCCCTGAAGAGTGGTCAACTAAGACACTTAGAACCTGTAACTTTATACACTTCCTCCAGCCACGTGGATGGAAGCTCTGGTGGCCTTGTGACAGACGCCGTGCTGTAATCCCAAAGGCACACTGTTCAAGTAGGCACTCTGCAAGAGAAGGATGGGCCATCTCCCGTGCAATTTACTGCCTCTGAAAACTCACTAGAGTGTCAATCATGGGTTGTTATGACTCAGTGTTATGACACACAACAACAACACAACAATCCAAGCTAGTACACCCCAAATGAACCTCCTGAAATTGTAATCTTCATCTTTATAAACCTCTACTATCTCTGTTGTTCCTGGGAGCTCATTATCAGGGCACTGTGACTATACTGTGTTTCTAATTATGCAAAATATCCTTTGCACAATATAATGGTCATTTTCTGCAATCATCTTTTTCACCATGACAATTTTGGTGTCATTAAATGATATCTGAGACCAGCTCCCTGTGGCAGCTCCCAGAACCCAGGGAAATCATGTTTTTGATTCAACTGAGTCATTTGGACTCTCTTTTTTCCGCAGAGCTACCTGGATTAAGTACCACGGAGATCTGTGAAATTCAGCCTTGTTTTATCTGAAGTTCAACTGAGTTTTATTACTGGCTTATTTTCATGATTATCATTAACTTGTTTTAATTCTACCTCAATGTGTTTTTTTTCTCCCTGGTTTACTTTTTCGATTGCAGGTACCTATTCTACTTTGTGGATCTCAGGTTAATCATGGAGGATACTTCTGCCTTTAAAGGGCTCAGGTTCACCAAAAACCTGGGACACAGGCACTTCAGCACTGTTAGGACACCCACTGGTGCCAATAATCATTGACAATCCCTGTGTGAGGATAGTCCGTCAGGAGATAGCTACCCACTGGATGCCAGCAGTGCTCCTGGATCTGTGGGCACCCTACCAAAAAGCAAAACATTTCCCACTCCTCCCAGTCTCCCCAACAGAGATAGCTGTGACTTCAAGAAAACTGAGTACAGTGCTCCATTTAACTCCACGTAAGTGAACTCTGAGCTTCTGCTACCAATTTCCTTAAGGCAACAGTCCTTAGGCAAGTTTGCCCAATAGCATGGATAGAAGTTCTCCAACTCACAAGCTTAGGCTTAAAACCTGGCATCCTTCAAGCTAGAGAAACCCAAGTCCTTTTGGGTTCTCATTCCAAACTGGTGTGTGCCTACACTGAGTACACCATCATTTTGTACCATTTTGCACAAATACAACAAGAAATACAAGAAGTGATGCTTCCCTTTGAATCCTTGGAATCAAGGAACAGAGGAAAACAGTACAAGATTAAAATTATGAAGAAGACTGGAATAGAAGAGAAATTCTCTGATTCAGGATATACATGAAAAGACAACACAGTTAATTGGGAAAGACTGAGAACTTTCTTTCCTCTTGATATAAGGAACAAGACAAAGATGTCTGTTCTCATTGCTTCTATTCAATACTAGTAGCTCTTATCAGAGCAATAAGTTAAGAAAAACAAATAAAAGGTATCCATATTGGTAAAGAAGTAAAATTCTCTTTATTTTTGGATGATAAGATCTTATTTACAGAAAATCCCAAAGACTCTGAAAGAAAACTTCAAGAGCTAATAGAGAAATTGAGCAGTCACTGCAGCAACTCATTCAATGATTTTATCTTGCTTGGATCAATAATCAGTACCCTTGCTACCAGCAGTCAGAAAATCAAGAGACATACTGCACTGGGAAAATCTGAAGTCAGGGACTTCTCCAAATTACTGAGGAGCAATGAGGTTAGCTTGAAGACTAAGGTGTACCAGACTCAGGCCATGGTGTTATCAATCATCTGCTATGTATCAGAGAGCTGCATAATGAACAAGGATGACAGAAGAACTGATGTCTTTGAGTTGTGGTATTGGAGAAGTATACAGAATATCCCATACACTGCCAAAGGAACAAACAGATATGTCTTTGAGAAAGTTAAACCAGAAGCAAAGATAATGAAGCTTTGTCTCATCTTCTTCACTGTCTACAAACAAGCAAGACTGTGGCATCTGCATAGTGCAGGTGTTGATGAGTCTCCCTCCAGTCCTGATGCCACATTCTTCTTCAGAGAGTGAAGCTTCAGGAATGATTTGCTCAGCATACATATTGAATAGGTATGGAGAAAAGATATGACCCTGATGCACACCTGTCCTGATAACCATACTCAAGAGTCATATCCTTTATTTTGTGCACGTGTCTAAGAGGGGACCTCAAGATAGTTTTGGTTCAGAGTTTAAAGATAATCTCAAAGTGTTGGTCTCAAGGAGTCTGTAGTCTCAGTATGGTTATCAGGACTGGAGGGAGACTCATCAACAACTGCACTATGCAGATGCCACAATCTTGCTTGTAGACAGTGAAGAAGATGTAAAACCACTTACTGCAAAACACTTACATGCCTTCAGCATGGGTCACATTTCAACACCAAGAAAAAAAAAAATAATCACCACCATCACCACTAGTTATAGCATCAATGATATAAGGAGAAAAGACTGAATTTGTGAACTTACCTGAATTCTTCATCTTACCTGAATCCACAATTAACATTCATGGTAGCAGCAGTTAAGATATCAGGACTTACACTGGAAGAATATGTTATCAATGACCTCTTTGAAGTTCTAAAGAGCAAAAATATCAGTTTAATGACAAAGGTGCACCTAATCCAAGCCATGGTATTTTCAATTACCTTCTATGCTTCTGAGAGTTGGACAATGAATAAGGACGACAGAAGAACTGATGCCTTTGAACTATAGTGTTGGCAAACAGAATTTAATACACCATGGACAGTCAAAAGAACACTCTTGTCCTGAAGGAAGTGTAACATTTTAGCCAGAAGGATACAGAAAAGGAGATGTGGTCAGACTGGCAGTTCAATCTGATAGCAGAAGCTAGTTCTTTCATTGAGATGGAGAGTCTGAAAGGACCAGAAGTATAGACAATGATTTGAAGGGAAATTGTGGAAGACCTCAGAGTCATGGAAGACAAAAAATCACCAATGAAATCAGGATGATGCCAACTATTAAATGCCCAACACAAAGTGACACCAGTGGGAATACTGTTGTTGAGTGCCGTCAAGCCAGAACTGACTCAGAGATGACCCTCCACCGGGTTTTTAGAGGCAGTAAATCAACTGCTCATTCTTTTCTTACAGAGTGACTTGAACCACGTGCCTTTGGGATTGCCAAACAGCTTCTTACCATCAAAGGGAATGGAGAGTGGAAATCTGCAGGTCCTCCTCCATAAAACACAAGGTCAGGTTGAGCTCAGTGGTGTCCTTACTCAGTGGCTGGCCAGATGCACTCCCAGCTGTCCCAGTTCTTGGCTCTGCATTCCTGACCTGTGCCGCCAAAAGGGTGGTCCACAGCAGATTTATTATTCAGAAAAGTACTTTCAACAAACAACAAACATGGAAAGAGGCAGTTTTGGAGCTAGGCATGTCATGTTACTCAGAGAATTTTCCAAACAGTACCTAAAACCCACCCAATGTCTGAAAAGGAG